GGTGAAAAATTGCAGGAAAGACAGACCAGGCATCACAATGGACAGTAAACTGAATAAGAACAATAAGGTGATATTAGCAAATAATGAAAGGGGCTATTGGCTTACATATGGAATAACAACTCATTATGGAATTACAGATGGGAACCCTTTCTGTATGTGCAGATAACTATACCCCTACGTGCACTGCAATCTCTAGAGGGAGACTGCAGACTGTGAGGAAGAAACCAGGAAAAAAAAAAATTTAGCCAGAATATAATAAAGGTATTTTAAGTTACAAAATAGTAGAATCTTGATACTGATGCGGGTCCTGAAAACATTTCTAACATCTGAAAAGCACTTATCTGTCTCATAAAATGCAGTACAAGGCTTCTCCAGAGTTCATGTGTAAAGAGCAAATGTCACTCTGAAAAGCAGAAAATATCCACGTACCGTCCTTCACTCAACCAAGGATGCACTTCCTAAATCTAGGGCCTATGACTCTAATTAGTGACTCAGTGAAGTGACAAATTATACATTACAATGTGTCATACCCAATTGGGGTCATACACAAATAGTTTTAACTAGTCGATCTTCAGATTTACATTAAAATTGTCTATGTGCTTATTAAAATGCAAATTTTTTGGCTCAGGGACTCTGTATTGCAATAAGCACCCAATATTATTTCGATACAAGTAGGCTTCAGCCTACACAAGAAGTTAATATTAAGTGTGTAATTTTAAGGGGATACACTGTATCTTGATCCAAGATAGCAAACAGAAAGATATAAAAATATAGTACCTCTAAGGATAACAGATTTGCAATTAAATTATGTGTGAGCGGAAAACAAAACAGCATTGTATAATCAAAGCATTCCTGAAGGTTTTCATGTAAATTTAAGATAAGAAAAAGGACAGACTGATGGCCTCTTAAGCTTCTATCTCAGGATTTTTGTAAGGGTAGAGATTAGCCTTTACAATAGTTCAAACTGTGTTGTTTTTTTTTTTAACTTTTTCAACTGAAAAGTAAAAACGCTGCACAATGTAATATAAGAAATCATCCTCCTTTAGTTGAAGAACAAGTAATAATTATAGTTCTACAAATTAAGTGGCAAGATTTCATCAATTACAAAAACCAAATAGCCCCATTTTTCATTATCAAGATGTCACAGTGCATGAACAAATCAACTACAGTTTCCATTATTACCACTGGTCAACTAGCATCTATCTTATACTTCCTTTTAATCCTAGTACTAAAGCCAGCAGCAAGTATTACTGAAAACCGCCTCTTAAAGTGAAGAGTCTTTGGAGAATATTAATTACACTGGACTTATGAAACAGTGAAGGAGAATTACACCCTCCTCAAGACTCAAGGAAGAAGCCCTAGCTCCACCTCCAGCACCCAAAGCTGAAATTCTTTTTAAACTATTCCCTGATTCATTGTTATGGGATATTCACAAAACCTTTGTATTAAAACAGCTCTTTTTTTCAGAAAAATATGCATATTTATAAATAATTATCAATACCCACATGTCACAGCACACATTGCATACTATATGTACATCATGTGTTGAGCTATCTGCCCCATGTATAAAAGCAGGTACATTATATTATTGATCATACACAGTACCTTAAGTCAAGTCATTTCTAGTCAACATGCATACCACAACCATTAGATCATGAGCTTAATCACCAAACCAGTGAAACCATTAACCCGTTCAGCAGGTGTCCCTCTTCTCACTCGGGGCCCATTGACTGGGGGGGTTTCTACAAATGAACTTTATCAGACACCTGGTTTTTACTTCAGGACCATCTCACCTAAAATTGCCCACACTTTCCTCTTAACTAAGACATCTTGATGGACTAATGACTTACCAGCCCATGCTCACACATAACTGTGGTTTCATGCACTTGGTATTTTTATAATTTTAAGGCGGGGGGGTGGAACTGAAGGAATCAGCTATGGCCGTCTGAAGCTTTGACGCAGTCAAGCAAATTGTAGCTGGGGTTTAAATGACTACTACTTACTAGCATCACAAACCATAAGGTGTTACTCAGTCACTGGTCACAGGACATAAGATAAATTGCATACACACATACACATACATACACACACATACATGTATGAGTTTTACAGGTAAATAATCTGCTTAAACAAACTCCCCTTATCCCCCATAAATTTTACCCTTTATATGTCACACCAGCCTGCCAAACCCCCAAAAAAGGCAAGACACAAAGAGAATTTAGTAGATCCCTATGCACAAAAATTCAATTATGTCTAAATAAACTTATTACTGTATCATGTCAATGTGTCACTTAGATACATTCAAATTATATAGACAGACATCTCCCTAGATTTGTCAAATATTTCAAAATAGAATCCAACAAGCATTTTTAATACAAAATTTAATACCAAACCCCATATATTTATGTTTTAAAAAACATATCGAGTCGGAACTTAGATAAACACCTCTATGTTTTGTGGCTCTTTCAGTGGAACTGTTGCTGTTGTTTCTGTCACTGAAGAATACGAGGTTAACTAGCATTGCCTTCTGCCTTCCTTGCCTTGCTTCTCAATAGCAGACACAAATCTGCTCTAACTTTGGGACTCAGTAGTGAATGAACAAACCATTAACTACACTGAAGAAGAGTATGACAATACATAATCTCAATGGTTCTGCAGTATATGTGATTAAATTACAGTTATAATTGAGCAAAAGAAACCAAAGCAGTAAAAAATAAAATAATAAAATAAAATAAGGCTCATATCTCTTGATATAAGACTGAGAAGACTTGCAGCTCAAGGTATCACCAAGCAGGACTCTATGGGGCCCTCCCAGGATAGACTCTCAATCCCCCATGTTCTCCCCCTGCCTCTTCCTTGTAGGAAAACTTTAGTCTCCTAGGCCTTCCCTGAGTTCCAAAGAATAAATTAAATCAGAGAAATGAGAAAATGCAGAAGCAAAGAGAAACAGTCAAGTAAGACAAAATAGTAATAGTTTAACTATTAAAAAGTCAAGGACTTCTAGTTTCTCCTCAAGAAACTACAGATAATATTCTGAGCCATACTCTTTTAGCTGTTTTGCAGATACTGAAACTCCCACCAGGTGGAAGAAATAATTCCATGCTGCCCACAAGCAGGTAGACCCCAGACTGGCTGAAACCAAAAGGTTGATGATGCTGATTCCTGATTACCTCATCACCAACTAGTCAGAAGCATGTCTATGAACTGATCACACATCCCACAACCCCCATCCCACCCTGTCTTTGAAAACCTTTCCCTGAAAGCTATCAGGGAGTTCGTGTCTTGAGCACTAGCTACCAGGACTCCTTGCTTGGCGCCCTGCAATAAACACTGCATTTTCCTTCACCACAATTTGGTGTCAGTAGATTGGCTTTAATGCGCATGGGCAAACAGACCCAAATTTTGTTCAGTAACAAAAGCACGTGATTTAATTGAAGAAAAATAGTGTATCCATTTAAAATCATCTCGTCTTGCTTATATTTCTGTTTCAGGGAATGCTTCAATTTCAAAGCCACCATAGCTAATGCTGTTACATCTTTCACCTTATAGAAATGATCCTCCATAGGGATTCCCATTAGATTTTTTTTGTCCAAAGATAGTACCAGCTAAAGGTGAAGCATTTCAAACCTGCAGCTTCACTCACTCTAAGGCTGACCTGTAAGTGAAGTCTTTCTCATTGCTTTTCCCACAGAGTAGGTGGACTGAGTACCAACCAAACAACTGGAATTATAAAGGGACCTCAAGGCATTTATGCTAACAGACATGTATGCTGCTTATGCTACTTTATGTTCTCCTGAAGCAGTAGGGATGGAGTGACATGTTCAGGTCAACCAGGGAGAGGTAAAAGTTTCAAATATGACATGCCAAGGTCAAAAGAAGAATCTACATTGTAAGAAAGCAAAGATATTGGGTATTTTCTATTAAGAGAAGTACTTCATTTCACTCTATCACCCCTTAGGAATCATGAGTGTCCGTTAGAGGTACAAGAGCAAACTAAATTTTCTGAGCCCAGTTTAAAGACACCATGTTAGATACAGTACTCTCCCAGAGTTGTGAAGAGACCTGATCATAAGGTCACTAATCAGGCTTGTCCACACTCTAGAAATGAGCATCTGTATTGTTTCACTGCTTTTCCAGAGCATCTTTTCAAATTAAATAAAGGATGTCTGTGGTTAACCTGGCATACTATCTTCATTTTGTGTGTGGGGATGTTGGATTACCAGGATATTCTAGCCGACTCAGTTTAGGATCAAGATATTCAGTGGGAATTAAATGGAAAATGTGCTCTGAGATTCCTTAAGGGTCTCTGAGGAGCTTAATGAAAGGAGGACAGATAGTAAAACCACATCTAGTCAGTTGGTCTTGCTTGTGGCAAGGCTTATTATTCAAATAACATCATTTTATTCTCCGTGCTTTCTGATTCTCACTTAAAAGTATTACGCAAAATAGAAAATAAATAATAAAACACAAGGTCAAGATACTAGTCTATCCATGGTAAAATGATCAAATTGTAAAAAAGACACAGCTATGGTCAAGCACACAAATTGATCCAAATATCAAACAACCTTAGAGAACCAAACAAGGCCCTTCATCTGGATCTTTAGAATTCCTTGAAGTGGTAATTGTCCCCTAACAGAAACTGAGAAGTCTCATAAGGAGTAATTTTAAGTAGGCAGCATTGCATATAAAACTTCTGTCAATCCTAACATTGCAGATCAAAAACCAGAAGCGGAGGGATCTTTTCTATACATTTCAGGACATTATGGAGTATCACAGAAAAAGCACTGCTCTTTTGAGCTCTAAATTGCTTCCTAGTTGTCTGAACTCAGGTAAGCTCCTCTGAGCTTCAGGATTTTTTTTTTTCATCCATAAGGCAGAAATCTTAAGACCCACTGACATATTTTTAGACTAGTGTTGTGAAGGTATCATAGAAAATTAAGGTATAGAACAGTGCTGTAAAACTGAAAAGCACTACACAAATATGAATTATTACCACTTACCTGAGGAGACAGCCATGCTTTCCATGTCCTGCAGAACTCTTGCTGTTGCCTCTCTCCATAATATGTTAACAGTCTGGCTCCTATGACATCTTTTTCTTCTAGTCACCACCTTCTTTCTTATCCTTTGACTGCTTCATCCTTAGCTTGTCCACACAAGCAAATGCCATCCTCATTAGCACTCCTAATTAGGCTTAACAAGCAAAAATATACCAGCAGGTGACTATATGAGTGGCTTATATTTCTCCTGGAAAGTGATCTTGTTGCTGGCAGCTTCTGAGATTTGGTGTCCTGTTGGTGACTGGACTCCATGGTACACAAGAAACCTTAAGCTTAAATCTGCTCAGTTCCATAGTCACAGACTTCTCTTCTGACCCAATCAGCCATCTCAAACTGATTGCCCAGAATTAAAGAGTATTCCAGAGAAAGTTGCTGGAAGATTCAGTTTCTGTGAAGAAAACAGCAGTATTAAAGAATCAATTTTAAATGTCAATAATAACGCCAACTTCCTGAGCATCTACTGTGGGCTAGACACTGAGCCCACACTTTTACACATGACACAGGATAATAATTTAAAGTATTAATTTTAGGTACTTTCTTTTCCTGGATTTTGCCCTTTTCAGTGCTCATTCCTCCCAACCTTCATTCAAGGCTGAGGACGGAATTTCTTCTTGCTATCTTCAAAAAAGTTTTGCAAAGAATGACTTGCAGTGGGTGTGGAGGAAAAAATGCTGGATGCTCCTGAGAGAAACATGAGAAAAGGGCATTTGTACATACAGAAGAAACATCTAGTGGAAGCAGGGTACTCTACATAACTTCATGAGGAAAACATTCTCTTTGACTTGAGTAAGAAACAAAGAGAAAATTCTATGGATTCTGAGAGCAGAGAACACCTACCCTCTGGTTTTCAGCAACAGAAGCAACAGGCCTGGAGAAATGGGCACCTAGGGTATGACCTCTACAAAATGTCAGCAAATACACTCAAGCTGGACAGTGAAGGGAGAATTAAAGAGCCTATGGTTCTGCAGGGGCCATGCACACTGAGGCAGTGGAAGTCTCCGAGGTCATTGGGGTTAACCTATGACCTGAGACAAGACTGCTAACCCTCTCATCAAGACTTAACAGCAAAAATCTTACCACTGTATGATATCCTCAAACAGTAGATATTGTTCCCCAAAGAAAATGAGAGTAAAATTTCAGGAACCAACTCAACTGAATTTTTAATCTCTGTATCACTAACTAGCCCAACAAAAAAAGGGTTGAGAGTCAGAAATTATGAGTTAAAGAAAATTAATATAGCTTGTCTTCCTCCATTCCTGGATTTATGAGTCTAGATTCATTCATGCTACCTATTTAACACCTCAATTAATCCCCATAGCAGTGTTACAAAGTAGGATTCGCTCCCTCCCTTGTTACAGATGAGAAAACCTGGATAGAGAAATTTAAGTAGCTTCTCAAGGTAGCACAGCTAGTTGAAGATGGTGCTGGGCCTCAGCCCTAACTCTTTCTGACTCCAAAGCTAACTCATCCACTATTCTATAACGTACACCCTATTCAAAATTCTGTGTTGGCCAATTACACTAATTGATTCTTCTTAAAGGAAATATGAACCTAGAATGCACTCCTGCCCCTTTATATTAGTACAGAGACAAAGTGAAAAGAGATTTTGGGGTTTGGGGTCACAAAAGTAAACCCTTCTAATCAATCTACTTCATAAACATTTGTGTTTGCCTTTTATAGCTGCAATTACACTTACAAAACGTAACTAGATTCTTCATAGGCATTTTATACCCTAATTTCTCCCCATGCTTGGGCTTGGTGGTGGTTTGGAAGAGACAAAGCTCATGAAGGATGAAGATCCAACTGCAGTCATCAGGTAATTTTCTGAAGATTAGAGACTTGGCTGGTCTGAAGAAAACTCTGGCAAGACCCAGTAGAGGAGGCAGCTGGGAATAGTTCACAGCTACTCCCCGGAGCCCCACGTGCATCAGAAGGAGGCTGGCATCACTGGATGCTGAAAGAGCTGCCAGAGATTGGCACTTGAGTGCCAAGTCCAAGGGGGAAACAAATTGTGAGACAGTGTGCCAGCTGGAAAAGACGTGCCCTGTGAAAGGATGGAGATGAGTTTTGTGGAGGGTACTGAATAATAATTTCTGAAATGTGCAAGAAAGGTTGATGTGTGGACACGGGTGACTAGAAACAGATGCCGGGCAATAACACAATCAAGCAAAATGGAAGGCGGGAAGTCATGAAGGGAAAGATGTCGGCACTGACTGACTTAAAGCCAACAAGTTAGCAAATCCTGAAAGGGAGTTTGCTTTAGTTCATTGTGTGTCAGTTATATTAAATCATAAGGTAAGGAAAGGAAAGAGAAAATCATTACGTGAGGCAGGGAAAGACAGTGCACAAACACTGTCTGACCAATATCATTTTAATCCAAGATCTGACACTTTAAAATATATATGCTCGGGAGCTCTGTTGTAAGCATTTTTAAATATCAGTTCTCATTTGTAGTATGGGTCTATAACACATACAAAATAGTTGATATTATTACTATTATAAGCTATGACTGAATAAGTACTTGATACATGCTAGTACTGCATTAAGCATGTTGAATAAATTTTCTTATGTAACTGTTCTAATAACTGAATGAAGTACCACAGTGGAAGCTGTTTTTAAGATGCCAAACTCATATCTGGGGCTCAATAAACTGTAGCTTCTATTAATATTGCCACTTTTTTTTTAAGCTAGTTAATTCCTAATCTGAAGAAAATCTTAGTATATGTCTACCACTTACCCTGATGCCAGATAAGGTTGGAATGAAGGATTGCAATTCTACTTCTAACCTAAATTTCAGATAAATTCTCCTTCTCAAGTAGACCCAAAACATGTACACTGGCTACAAACAGACAGGATTCATAACTGTTACGCATTCTGAGCTGGAATCTCACTTATATGTACAATCATCTCACTGATGTTCAGACAAAATTATCTTACTTTCTACTATTCACTAGCTAAGTGAAAACATTTATTTACTATTCTATTCCTATACATGTTTTTACTAAAGTGTGCATATATCCTCTGAGAAGTTTGTTGACCAAATATTTGTGATCACTACACTTTCTAGCATCTCTAAGAAATAGAGTACAGAATGGCTAACTCCTTTTCATCATCAATTGCCATCTACTCAGAAAAGCCTCCTCAGCCAATCAATCTGAAGTTTCCCCTATTAATTTCCACCTCAAAGCCTTGGCCATTGCTTTTACAATACTTATCGAAATTACTTCTCAAAATTTGTATGTTGTTTCGTTTGTCTGTTTATGTACATTTGTCATTAACATCACCTACAGTGTAAATTCTGGCAGGAACCACTTTCGTCTTCTTCAGCAGTCAGAAATATTTACTAAGCACACACAAGGTGCCAGATATTGTTTCCAGGTACAAGGATACTGCAGTGAACAGACATTCTAGCCTTGGAAACAAAGAGCAAAAAAGAAAAAAGAAAAAGTGATGATGTTATGCAGAATCAGTAATATGAAGGACTAAAGAGGGCTCCTGGGCTGCAGCAATGAGAAGTTGTTGAGACAGATGGAGTCTGTTTTTCTTTTACCAAAGGTAATCAGGGAAGGCTTCCTGTAAGTGGACCCATGATGTTAAGATGAGAAAGAGCATTTCATGTAAAAGGAACAGTAAATCCAAAGACCAAGACTCTGGGATCAAGCCATCAGTGACTGTAGATAAAGCACGGTGTACAAGGAGAAGGAAGAGGTGAGATGGGAAGAATATGGAGTACTCTGAAATTTATGCTGATATAAGGCCTTTAATCTTATCCTGACCGGAATGGGAACAAAACTGGAGAGTTTTCAATAGAGAGAGATAGGATCTGATTTTGGTTTAGAAGAACTGTTTTTGTCTGCTGTATGGAGGACACCCCAGAAGAAGTTGGTCAAAAGAGAACAGTTAAGGGATTATTACAGTGGTTAAAGTGAAAGATTACAACGGTGTACAGTGATTGTGATAGAACAAACAGTGACTGCTGTAAAGCTGATGGGCATTGGTCAGGTTTTGTATTTATTTTTCAAGTTGAGATGATTGGATTCACTGAGAGATTGGATGGGAGGATAACATAATGAAAGGAATCAAGGATGACTCCAAATTTAAAACAGTTTAAAGATTAGAGTCACATTGGTCAAAACAGGAAATACTTGGAGAGAAAAAAGTTTTGGACGGTAGAAATTAAGAGTTCAGTTTGAGATGGGTGAAGTTTCAGCTGCAGAAATGTCAAGTAAACATTTGGCTAGATAATTGTGGAGTTACGGAAAGAGCTTTGAGGCTGGAGATACATACTTGGAAGTTACTGGAATACAGATGGCATTTGAAATCATTGGAAAAGATGGATTCCAATAGGTAGATGGATATGAGGAAGACCAAGTAAAGGTCTGAGGACTGACTTTCAGGGCTTGGGAAGATGAAGAGGAAAAAGCAAAGGAGACTGAGAGGGATCACCTGTGTGGTAGAAGGAAAACCAGGAGAACGTGGTGTCTAGGAAACCAAGGGTCTGCTGCTGCCAGGTTAAGTACTTTGAGAACTGAGAATGGAGTGCTGGGTTCAGCAATATGGCTAGAGCCTGACCACCTGGATTTGGGCAGTCCTGGGGAGTAATGGGGATGAGTGCTTGAGTGAGCAGTTTCAATAAAGCTTAGAAGGAAAGGAAGTGGAGTATAGAGAACTCTTTGAAGGGATTCTGCCGAAAGAGGGATTAGAGAAATAGGGGTGTCGTTGGAGAGTGATGTGAGGTCCTGGGAACAGACTGTGTAAGTGGGGTCCCACTTTATCAAAAGGGATAAGCACGCCTACAGGAAGAGAAGGAAATTGATGGGGGCAATACCAAGAGTGAAGTCCTTGAGCAGAAGAGCAAGCCTGGGACACATTCTCCAACAGAACAAGTAGGCCGTGGATAGGAGCCTTGGGCATTACATTCAGTGTAGCAGGAAAAAGGAGTGTTTTGGTACTGATGCATGAATACAAGTAGATGTGGTGTGTGGGCCTACAGAAAGTTTCCTCCAATTCCTTGGTTGGATAGTTAGTATCATTCACAGTGCCTGGCACATAGTAGGTGTTCTAAAATTTTACTGAATAGGTGGATGAACATTATCAAATCTGCTTCCAGAGAATTTCCTAAGAATAATGCTCTGCATAGGAGCTCGCCCTGCTTTTAGCTTACAGCTGCACTGTAAAACAGAAGACACTGAGAAGAGAAGAGAGAAGCTTTTCAAATGAGCTTTAAAGATTTATTTCCTCACCTCCACCCTCCGCCTTTCCTTCTGAAACAAAGATGTGGCTGGAAATGTATGGGGTGTTGTGCTTTTATTATAGAAATAATTGGATATCTGGGACTCCTCTTACCCTCTCATGATATCTGCTGGATATAACTCTTGGCTTTCTCAT